AGTAGACCATGGTTTATATCAGTTCGAGACTGAGAAGGATTCTCCGTACGTAATTGGTGGTTCTGATGTCCGTTTTCATATTCTCTGGCTATTTTTTAATCGGAGTATGCACTGTAGGATGTGAATCACTTTCGTTATGAGGATAACTATGGTCATAATTCAGGGGACTAAAAATATATCTCACATCCTATACTTTGTGAGAAATCTTTTATTACCACACTTGTTAAAAGCTCTAGGCCTTTGTGGGTGTGCGGTGTGTCTAGTGCTTTGATAACTATTATTGGTCTCTGTGCTCAAAGATTGGCAGTCCTGGCGCTTATATCCAGTCTTTCCACGCGAAGAGGTTAAAAATCAAGTAAATTATTATGAGAATGCGTTATATCCTAGCGAAGATAAGAGTGGGGGTAACTTCTGGGAGCTAATAATGGACTGATATTATACATATATTATTACTGTATTCAGCGACTAGAGTATGTACATTTATATTCATCTTATTATAAGCTTTATTGAGATATACAGACTATTATTATACGATTTACTATTCTTAAATTATACCCAATTTATTAATTGCCGTTTCTCACAGTCACAGCTACATTTTGCTTGATCTTGTAAAATTGTTATTTTTTATTAATGGTATGATGTGGTCTGGTTGGCTTATATACAAGCCCAATATATTTGAGATATATTATTCGCATAGTGAAAGCTGATATCCGTAGGAAAATCTAGGCAGGAGAAAGGATCAACAAAGATTACAGGCTACTCATACTGATCAATAAGTCATGGGTTTGGCACAGTGCTAAGATTGCACAAGTCATATTCTGATTGGCTATTGTATCATGTGATATATTAACCGAACAAAAGTCATGGCAATATGCCTACATTTTTAGCAATTTTCCTCTATAACACAGTTGTTAAAAATCTAGGTGTTTTGGTAGCCCATAGTCTAGAATTCTGTACTGGAAGGAAAGGAGGTTCTCAACACAACTCAGAACCGCATAGCACTATTGACCTTGCCAAATTGATATGAATGAGCAAATAAAGCGAACAGTGGTCGTAAAATCTCGTCCGCCGACGCCGAATAAATCATCGGGATACGATGTCCAAAATATGTATCCAAGGCTTACTCTTATGTGCGTCTTCCTTTACACTTCAGGCAGTTATTTCTATAAAAGACCAGTTACAAAAACTACACGTACACCAGTATAAAAAACACCTTGATGTATGCAACATTTTGTTTGCTTCATAAAATGCATGACACCTGCAATATGTTGTATCAATAGGACGTCAATGTAACGTAGCATTCACATGATACGCCATCTTTTACAATGCATGATTCAATTTTAGTTCAACGGTCGTCTGCTCATGAACCAAATTTTGGTACCCTGCTTCTGCAGGAAAACGTTGAGCTTGCTGTAATAAATAATTCAAAATTTGCAATGGGTTGATATTGGCTGTAAGCCGGCATGCCTCATGCAACTTGTGATTTTTGAGAACAACGTATTATTATTCGTTTCGAGCTCAGGTGCTCAGTTAATTCCGAGTATCGAGTAAGTTATACCTCCGTAATATTTCATCACCACCCCAAAACGGCATCATCAATGGCGCGTCTATTACCTCTCATCATTATTAACGGGCTAGCAAAACCGTTCACCTGCAAACTTGGATGTTGCTCTCACATTTCAAAGAATTAATTCACAGTACATATTCGAGACATTGAAACGATAATCTTGTAGTACTTTTGATAGTTACTGACGGTAAATGCGTCATAAGGTAAGGCTTTTTCACATCTTTCCGATCAGTAGTTTAGGGGTTGTCCACGAAAACTCATACTAAACACTAATATCGTCTTTCCTAATATGATCAAGTGTATCAGTTCAGTTCTTCATAAAATTTTCAAGAAATATGTCCAAGACAAAGTGTTAGTTCGCTAAGATAGATGCCCTGTATTTGAAATGTACTGTAAGTTGTGGTCCATTTGCTGGAGAGAGTAGTTTCCGAAAGACCAGTTCTTCTAACGCGCGCTTTTCGAACGGGAATTTTGTCCAAACGTGACTTTCATTTCTCTAACTTTTGCTGTGTTCTTACGCAACAGTAGGACCATTTTTAATCTAACGATCTATTCTGAGCTATGCATTCGGTAAATTAATCCTTTCGACTTTCACCCAATTTAATAGTTAACTGTGGATTTGTCTCAGCTTACTAATCAGTTTTTTTAGTTTTTCACTTAAAGGCTACGTCAGTTCACCTTATCCGTTTTTATCCATTTTGCCCGTTTTAGTGTGCTTATTAGCGTATTTTTCAACGGCCTTAGGCTGTTGCTAGGATCTATAAAACAATTTATGTCACCATAGTCATAAAAAACTCATGCAAATGACCCGGATACCGTTTTGTTATTACATCTGGCATGCAGTGCGACAACTACAATGGTTGGTTCCATGAAGCGTGCACAGACCTTACAGCAACTGCTTACAACAGGCTCAGTAGGTCGGATCATAGGTGTATATGTGTCGTGTGCAAGACGGATGCTGAAGTTTTGCTGAGTAACGTTACTGTCTTATTGACAGGTCTGAGGGATAAGTTGTCAGCAAAATTGAAAAAAGACAACCATAAAACGGATAGACAAACAAAAAGATGCAACGAAAAAAAGAGGCATCTCGACATCGCTACTATCGATGGAGCATGTAATAACACTAGTGGCGACATGCTGAAACTCAGTACCGTCATAACGTGAACAGTAACAGGCTCTCCCAGCAGACTTCGATCTCCCAGCACAGGACCCCTGAATGCAACGGTAGTTCCCAAAAATTCTGTAGGTAATCGGGCCCCCGTTAAGAAAGTCAAAAAGGACCAGGCGTCACCGCTTGGCCGCACCGTCTATCCCCGATAATATCCATCCGGTCAGAAAAGAGCCTAGGAGTTGGAAACGTGCTTCGAACTCCAAACAACAAGGTCCTCAACCTGAACGCACTCGTAAACCTAGGAAAATAATAACGGTTAGCGATGACTCTCTCATAATCATGAACCTTAAAGACAGCCCTGACCTTCCCCTTAGTTTGTGGCACAAAAATGACAGGATGCTCTGGGGTGAATTGAACAAGAAACTTGAACTTCCTAGAATAGAGCCTTTGAAAGTCACATGGCGTACTAGGGAAAAGGAATCTAAGCATCAAAATCACCCGAGGCTACTTCGCGTAACACTTAAGAATGCTACCGATGTAGAGGATGTCCTGATAGGTAGTCATTTACTGAAATCCGATGAAAACGTGTATTGTCAGTTATTATGCCAAGCCCATATACCTTATTCTAGCTTCCGGACATCCCATTTTATTCATTCTACTCGAGCCATACTTTGACCCTGTTATTTATTCACTTATCAATCTAGACTGTTTTTATATGAGCGTATATGTGTGTGCCCTTCTTATCCTATTAATCACATGTCTGTAGCTTTATTTTGTCTGGCTATAAATATTGAGTAACGCTCGACAAAGATGGAGTTGGATTCCCAGCCATCTTCCATACGTGTCATTTTTGCTTTGCTGTGCTTCATTCGCTTCATATTCGAAATATATGTATTCTCAAGTCAATTCTCGTTATTCGACTTATTTAATTCCGTTATTGGATAACGCGATTTAAGTAGACGATGATATACGAGAAAAGGCGATAACAAACATTTATACAATCTAAATGGAGTCAGATCAAACGGGCCACTAAAAACGTAAGAATACTTCCCAACATACCGTATTCTGAGCACAATGCCATCCGGAACATCCTTAAAGAATCTGGCGAGTTTTTCCGCGGAAGAAATATCATTGTGCAAGGTTTACCGGAAAACACGGACCCTATTCAAGAAAAGTCTGATATTAGTGAATGAAAATTCGTCAAGCAGTCCTTGAGGCTCAAAAATATACTGACTCAACAAGTGATGAGACTAGCCAAGAAAGATGGTGATTCCAGACCCCGGCTGATGAAGATAACTTTCCCATCCTCCCGTATGGCGGCTACAACTCTGGAATCATTTCGTGCCAAAAGACGTCGGTTGCCAACTGCAATCAATATGCACCCGGATAGGCCACAGGACGCAAGGATCAAGCACAAAGGCAAGTTGGAGCTAAGTATTCCACTTGTGGATTGTCTCAATCATAAAAATAAAACGTGTAAACGACAGGGGCTATCGACTTGGCAAACCTTATATAGGTAGGCTACCTGTCCATTCACGTAAGGCTCATACAGACAAACAGGAAAAAACTCACGCGCTTCAAATTGAAAGCATAAACTGCTTACACATGAGCGCCGCGAGTCTACCAAATAAAATGGATGAGCTATGTGAACTCAGCAATTTTAATAAAGCTCATGTGATAAGAATATCTGAAACTTGGATAACTTCTCAGTTTACGGACCAGGAGCTGGACACGCCTGTGATGTCTTCCTTTCTCAATGACAGAAAAACAGGAATTGGTGGTGGAGTAGTTTTGTACTTACGATCCTGTCTGGAGGTACACCAAGTTCACAACCTTGAGTATAACAATCTTAATGAATCCGTATGGTGCTCAGTAAGATTGTCTACCATCTCGAAGTGTCTGGTTGGAGTCATCTACAGGGAGCCAACCATTAATATATAGTATGACGACAGTGTGTTAGAAGGATTACCCCACTCTACTCGTCTCGGATTCACTCACCCACGACTATGTATGGTATCTTACTATGGTTTACAAATCTCTTTTTCTTCTTTTATCGTTAATGCGCCTAGATTCCTGCATGGAAGTATTGGTGATCCATTTCTACTAGACACAGAAGGCGTGAAGCAAAAGTTTCTTCTTCTCCGTTCAAAACTATTGAAACCATTCGAATACGTAACTTTCATCTGAAAACCTCCTAGGAGTTATGATGGGTAGTTTATTTATATCTCTAATAGCTACATGTCAAAACCCCAGGCACAGACACAAAAGCCAAGACTTTATATCTTATTGTTAAGGTTGTTGATTGCCAAATCTAGTTGAAGATTTAGCTTCATGGCGCGCGTTATCTCAAATGGCCGAGATTTCAAATCGCAAAGATGTCATCAGCTTTTACGATGCGGCTGCACGCAATGATGAAAATAATTCCCATATCAAGAGGAGGGAAACTCGTATATTTTATCTGAGGAACTTTAACAACTGGATGAAAAGCGTTTTCATCAGTAAGAGTCTTCAAAGCTTAGATGTTCCCTCCAATCGTGCTCGAATATTAGATCTGTGCTGTGGTAAGGGTGGGGACCAGTTAAAGTGGTTACGCGGCGGTGTTCAGCATGTTACTTTTGTGGATTTATCCAATGAATCTATTGAGGTTTGTCGTCATCGGTATGAACAACTGTGTAGAAATAAACGGTCTGTTTTCACTGCAGACTTTTTCGTGGCGGACTGCTCAGAAGCTATACTTCCACAAGTGCTTCCATCTGGTGTCTTATATGATTTAGTCAGTTGTCAGTTTGCACTTCACTATGCTTTCGAGAGCATAGCCCAGGTAATTTACTAATTTGTTTTCTAGAAATTTTGATCTATATCATCCACCTCAAACTATTATGTACTTAAAGTTGTCAAGTGTGTTGTAATATCACAGTAATTTGATGAGCTCCGAAGAATTCATCCAGAAGTGCGTTTTTAATATATTGACTCAGCGATAATTTTCATATTTGCGAGTTAAACAAACTATTTCTTCAGTAGTTTGTACTTACAGATAACAGTTCTCTGATACCTTATTGTACAAAGTGTGAGGATTCATCAAGTCGTTTCATTAGCTGTTGTACACTTCACCGAGGTATCTTTTGAAAACTGTCTAGCAGTCATTCGTGTGAACACGTAAAGTATTGTGCCGAGTGCTTAAAATCGTCACGTCCCCACTTGAAGGTCATCTTTAGTCTATTGAGTAAATATTCAGTGTGCCCATTTCAAGACCTGGATTTAGTCCCCTGAACTGACATTTTTTTGGTCACGGCTCAGAAGGCTTGTTTTTCTAACTGGAGTAAACACTGCCTTACTCTCAATGGAGTCTAATGTAAACTTTGAGGATTGAATAGGCTAATTGGTTAAACCGGTCACGATAGACTCCGAAGTCACTAACGCAAGGTTTCCTCCAAGAGAATTTTTACAACGGTCAGCACTGGATTTAAGATCATAGGCTGTTTAGACATTTAGATCTGTTCTAACCACTGACCGTTTTAGACGAAAATCCCCTAAATTGTATGCGTAGCAGATAAAATATTGCAGCTCGTCTACTTTGCATCGCAGTGTTGATAATAAGTCCGATGTTGTCTACATGAACTCGGATAAGTATCAGATTTCCCTGAAGCCCTAGCTTTTTGTCCTGGCTGGAAAATATCCAAGACTACATTAGGACATTTCACATCCTGGTAAAATGCGACAGTATCTATCTATTTGAGCTTATTGACGAAACATGTGTAGTTGACCTATCAAAAGCTCTAGAGGAATCGCACACTTTCCCTTGAGATTGGGAACGGCAGTTCATCTGTTGGTTACAGTCGGCAGATTGATAATGCAGGAGTGAATTTCTGAAACTGTTACTGAATTGCAAAGTCAGACTAACAAGTGATGTACGCTTTCGCAAACCAAAGATTCCGTAATCCTTGAAGGTATCGTAAAGTTACCCCCGACAATTTGAGGGATTTCACTAGCCCTCCTTAAAGACTAGAGTGGTGTTTGCCGAGTTTTAGCTGTCAGAAGTATTAAGATTAGGTTGTTTTGTATTAGACATTTAACTAATATTAGCTAATCTCATTCGTACCATCAGGAGATTGTTTACTTAATTCATAGTTTTCGGCAGTCAACGAAAAGAATTAAAGCACTAATTTCCAGTCGTTAAAAGTCACAGGTTCGCTTTCCAACCTTTGTCCCTCTAGGGCTGAGATTTAAGCTACAACGTTGAACTACTGGCATCATTGTTATTATTTAGGAAGCTTATTCACGAAATTACCTACCTGTTATGAAGCCACATGGTGAATGGCGCTAAGGTCAGTGCTAGAATCTCAAACTCTTGTGGGATCGATTTGGCAACTGTAAACTACATTCGTCGGTGATCGGTGTGCTACTTTCAGGACGACCGATTAAAGTTTTAAAGGTTGAATTTCATTTAAAAATTGTCTAGTTACCACATACTTGTAAGTTTCCAACGCACATTTTGACGCTTCTCATTCAGACCCGCAAGGCACTTTGAACTAGACATTTGACATATATATATATATATCATGGCCGTACAGTACGATTGTGCCTATACGGAATAGCATAAGCGCAGTCCAAAATGAGACTGTCAACGTGACAAGGTGTTAAGACACAATCCGTTTTTTGATAATTGTTGTAACAGTCTCTACCTTATACAACATAGATTACTTTAATTTTTGACTTATATTCAAATTACTGTTTATATAGGCACGTAGAATTTTGTCAAATATCAGCTCTCTGTTACAAGAAAACGGCTTTTTCATTGCAACGATCCCAAATGCTTACGAACTTTTGCGGAGAGCTACCGAAGCGTTAAACAAACATGTACAAAAACAAGTTTCGGAATCTGATATTAAAGAAATTAAGTTCGGAAACCCCGTATATTCAGTCACATTTCCCAAAGCTTCATTCTCAATCAGTCGAATAACAACCCAAACGAAAGATGCGGTTGAACTGACATTTCCTTTATTTGGGGCAAAGTACAACTTTTTTCTGGATGGAGTTGTGAATTGCCCTGAATTTGTAGTATACCCACCGCTCTTGGATAGATTGGCAGCTGATTACGGATTGGTACCCGTTCATGAACCTATCTCTTTCGCTAAGAATTTTTATTCTACGTTACGCAGTCGTTCAAGCCCACAAGACCCAAAGGATTTGCTCAAGAGAATGGAGGCTTTAGAACCATGGCATAAAAGTAATAACTATCCTTGCTCAAATGATGACGAATATATCCATCTGATAGATCATCAAAATAGTTTGCGCAACAATTCATGCTCATATGGGACTCTTTCTAAATCTGATTGGGAAGTTACTTCTATGTACTCTTTGCTGGCTTATAAGAAAAAAACGAATAAAGTCTGAATCTATGCAACCTCTAATTTTCGACTGTTTTACTGTGGATAGGTATCTGTGAAATACTGCTGTCTGGAACAATGATTGTACGTCCAAAACGGCTGTTAAATTTACTAAGCGGTTTTACAATATCCGGCAAAAAAGTGAATAGTATTTACAAATTATATTAAGCAAATAAGGCTGATTCGTCTTGGTCCATTTTCTCCTGTGAAGCACTGGAAACACTTTTTTTTCTTAGTTGAAGTACATCTGAGCTTACATATCTGGAGTGACCGCTGTCAGCGACAACATAATCATTGCTTCTATCGTTATTGTCGAGGTACTTAGAAACTACTGGTTCGTAAACATATTTTGGAAACACTCGCTTGTACAAAGGCATTAAAGCTACATCGTTTGCCAGAATAGGTCGGTCGAAAACACATTTCATATGACCATGAGTTCCAACAGGTTCCTTTATATGCCCAACAGCTCCGCTCTTTGTTTGCAACTGTACAGGCTGAAATGAAAAGTCAGACACAAATTTAATACCAATCAGAAAATCATTTTAAAAAGGTGACTAGCATGTTGGATACTAGAGAAATTGAAATTATTTACCAGCTGTTGAGCTGAATGATAAATCCTCTAAATCGAGGCGCTAAGTAGGACAGGGTTTTCCAGCCCCCTCAACAGATTTAGGGGATAACTATATAGGATAAAATAGGATTACCTGAAAATGAAGCACGTCCGCTGGATTATGGAACATATATCGGACAACTACATGACGCTGGTTAATCTTGTATGGATGACCTGACAAAAAAATCCTCTTGATAATTAAATGACTGGGGTCGACTGATCTCAGAGACCCTGTTGCCACCAATTCACCGACGTATGGTGAAGATAGTTCCCCATCTTCATCCTACAAAATAAGTAAATGCGTCAGTACTCAGTTCAACTGTGTCAACAACAAAAACACTAGTGTATGCAGAAAAGATTTTGTAAACGCTGATGAATACTGACATTTTAATTGAGTCAAATAATAATCTTTTAAAGTTTGATGATGCCAACAGCTAGGAAATGACCAAATGTCACGCATCGTATAATTTAATTAGGAGACTGCCATTCAGTTTATTCCCAGTTTTGCTATGGGAGGTTTCAGTTAACTTCGATTTAGTCCAACTGGTTCCGTTCTATAGATAATGCATGTTACTGATTAGTCGTGAACAGAGATGTTTTTACAATATATTTAATATAGTAGTTGGGACTTTTCACGGTTTGTATTCAGTCAAGCACAATGTAGAGCCTGAGAGGAAGTCCCCATATATCAACATAACGGAGAAATTATCAACTGTTTCATCGCTAAGCGCAACTCAAGCGTGTACACTGCAACGCTTCTGCAGTATACACAATCCTGATTATTTTAAGAAGTCGCTGTCATTTAAATGAACTTAGCAGTTGGTGTGACGTAGACTCCAAATTAGATACAACCTTATTATCTATTATTAACTGTGCGATATACGACTATGGGTCACTTAGCTATATTATTAACTGGAATCACATATACTTATTGACTCATAATAAGGGCCTTAAATATAAATAAATATAGATTCAGCATGTTTTAGTTCTAGCATATTGTTTGAACGTGATAAATAAAAATTAGTTTTCATTAGAAGCTTGGTATGTAAAAGTGGTCAGGTTATTTTCTCTTTAATGTTTTTTCAACAAAGGAAACATGGATCTAGATGAACGTGCTACTATTATGAAACTGAAGCTTTCATATTATCCCAGAATCCATACATAAACTAAGTGTTGGAATCTTATAGAAATCCAGAGTGTGAATCCATACAACAAACAAAAATATTGATAGTTGATATCATAAGTCAATTGAAGCTAGACCACCATGGAAAAGCTGGAAGCACTGGACAACCGTTTCGTTCTACTATGGGACTCCTCATTGACTCAGGATTTCAACTATTAAAATTACTATAATATACACAAAACCCCTTCTGATGTTAAACAGAAATAAATCAATAAAATACCTCTGTTACTCTGATCCTAAACTGTAAAACATTCACAGGAGAATACATCACTGGTGCATAAACAGTCGCTACAGTGGAATTTTCTGAAGCAGGAAAAAACGACTCAAATTTAGCTTTTTCACGAGGATTACTTGGTGTAGAATAAATCGGAGCTGCCACAAAACGCCGAATCCCAGCCTGAAAGGTTGCAAACAGAGTATGATCACTAAGTAAGATTCAAAGTAGCAACACATCTAGAGAACCGTCAGTAATGAAAAATGAATACATCTGTAACGCTATGATCAACTTAGCCATGTCACTGATAACGAATAATAAACACCCCCTTGTCACTTTGCATTTCTTAACATAGCTCCGTCTATTAACGAATTATTGGGTTGTTAATTGTTGTTTTTTCCCCAGTTTTTCTTCAACCTACTCTTACGTTAACCCATATAGCACTTCCTATTGGTCAGAGACGCCCCACATCATTCTGAAACAAGAGCAACTACTACCGCTATCCTGAAGTTAATACTGAGACGATTAATTTAAAAATCTGAAACCCTTTGACTCTGTTGTGAAAGACAATGTATTCGTTGCATACAATATTTGAGTACAAATTAGTCCAATTATAAGAGATAAAAGTCCTAATGCAAATGACTCAAGTATGAAGAGTTCTTTGTAGTTCGCAAAGTTAACAAAATATTGTAACGCTGAAAATTGCGACGAGCAAATCATACATAGAATACTATCAAACAAAGAGAAATATTTACAGATGTCGTCATCTAAAATACTTCTAATTTCATTCAATTTTTGAAGGGAGTAATACGTTGAGGGATTTTTAAGCCCCCGAGTGTTCTGGTACGGCCGAGGATGGGAAGGGTCCGCTTTCCCTCTCAAAATGCTCTCACATGGCCACGCGTACACAGCTACTGCCGGGGATGTCCTACTTACTGCCTTCTCGTGGTGGGGGTAGTGTTAACGAAATTGAGGGGACGAAAATCGAATGCCCGGCGCTTTAACCAGGTTGATGGATATGGAGGATCCACCTAGGAGAGTTGGAGAACGCTGATTCCAGACCAATGGTGCAAATGGGCTCCAGGATCCTGAGGGAACAAATGGCGTATGAACTAATTATTGGTCACCGGTTACCATGGGACTGCATTTCCAGACGTTGCTCCGCTGCCTTGAGGATCAGACCTTTCTGTCGGAGCCCCCGAGCAGTACCACAGCCCACACACAAATTAAGTGACTTGTGTGGCGCATATGTATTCGATCTCTTTGTACCCATATTTGTGTGTTCAAATAACAATAATAATTAATAATAATAATAGATTAATGAAATAGTTTTATCTTAAAAGAACTTCACTACGCACAATTCGTTATCCAAGGGTGAAGGATTTACTCTATCCAGTGACTTACTCAAGTTACTACTCAAATGATTGCAGGTAGTAATAATATTATCTCTTAACTAACGGTACTAATATTTTAACCCTCATAATTATATATAAAGTAAGTATTGTACACATAATCATAATTCTACCTGAATAAGCATCAGATCTTTCGATTTAATTGGTTCCGCTTCAAGAGGTATAGGCATCTTTGGATCGTATAGCGCTTTTCCACTTTTTTTTCCGTCGATTTTGTAACGGTGACTAATGAGGGCATCATGTATTGACTTATCTTCTCGTTCTACCTGTGTTGAAGCCTCCTCACCAAACTCTAGCGCACAAATCCCATTATCTTTTGATGATGACTCGGTAATTTTATTTGCAGCGTTTGCAATAACCGCCAAATCTGAAACAGCGTGGATAGCGGAAGCACGCCGAAACATTGTAAAATGGCAGACTGACATTTGAGTTTCATGAGGTAAGAGTGACCAAACTATAAGTGGATGAGGTCTTGGATCAGAAGGTTTTCTGGCTTCGTTAGGTTGAGGGAACGTGTGGTGAGACAATATCGATTCACCAAGATCCCGTGAAACAGGCTGTAGCAGAAGCTCGACATCCACACCAGACGGAATGTACTTGACGACGTTCCCTGTTGATTTATATGCTGATTGAAAGTCTGCTAATTTTTTTTCAATATAACGAATCATAGTACGCCTATTACGGTGATAGTTTCTGAAGCTTTTGGATAAACAAAAGAAGATAGTAAATAGGCCACTGATATATTTTTTGTCAACTTCAATAAAAAATATTTCGCACTCCTAACACAAAAACTCTGATGCTGCATTAAACTCAAGGTTTGTGAACTAAGATCGAGTATTTAAGTTATATAGTTGTTATGGATGCTGAGGAATAATGTGCCAATCATTATCATGTTAAGTCTAATAATGTCCTTGGAGGTTAAATGAACATTTCCTATTGGCCGTTATTTATTTCACTCGTTAAATATTGTACGGATGTTGTTTTCTATTTTTATGGTACGATGTGGTCTGTTTGGTTAGTATATAAATAGAGTATGTCTGAAATATAATGATTCATAAGTCAGAGGCTGTGACTTGCGTTCTAGACTCAACTGGCTGGGCTAGACAGGGGAGCAGGACCAATCGGGACTCTAGGTCGTCCTTAAGTGTTACCGAGTCGATCGATAATACGCTGCGCATCTAACCGTGCAATCCACCCGTTACAACAATAGTGATTTTGCATGCACCAGAATCAAACAACTTAGGTGACTAACATATCTTGCAGAATGCAGTATTTATTTATTTGAACACATAATTATTGATAAAAGAGGGCACCAAATATATATGCGCAACACAATGCAGTAAAATTCTGAGACATAGAAACAAAGAATAGACAATCGACTGGTAGCTAATTGGTAACTCCCGTTTGGATAGATAAATGAAATATCTAGCTCTAGAGCTTTGTACATATACTAAGCAAAGAATTCTGGACCCCTTATTTCAATGAAATATTTTCCAGCTGAAAATAACAGTTTGTGTATCTATGGTTAGATGAAAAACTTATAATAAGTAGTAGTAAACCACAAATTTAGCATACCAGGCGATATTTTGATAATGTTTGGGTAACCAATTCTTTTCTGCTGGCCACACGCTACCTTGGAAACGAGGAAGACCACAGTACTTTACAAACCGTTCACTAGCAGGTATGTTTGAAGGGGTTTCAACCTGTATATAAATATATAAAGTAACAGTTTACATTCGCAATTTTGTAGAGACTGCTCCGACATACACAGGGGTAAAAATGGACATACTTAGATTCGGTGGCGTAGAAGTCAGATCATTTTGAACTGAAATAACTTTTCAAGGTATGGATTAATGAAAAATCTCACCAATCAGCTAGCTTGGTTTCAGTTCGTTACATCTACTTTCTTTTATAGAGCGTTAACCCTTTAAGATGTTGTCGAACCTACTTCAGCGTAAATGAATTCGATAAATTACTTCAGAATGTGTCAGATTGATATCTGTTTAATAGGCTTTTTTGTTTTCTGTAAAAGTTTTGCATTTGAACTAAGGAAGTAGAATTGCGTGTACCGTTAAGAATAATGTCCTAGTAATCTCATTGACTTTTATGCTCTACTGTGGTGTATGCTACTTATGTCTGTCGACATAAGTAGTGTGAAGCATTTCGTCGTTAAGTGAAATAGAATTAGAAATTATTATTGTGTTGTTTTTTGTAAACGTTCAAAGTAAAGTGGTGACTGTTTTCAAATATAAGGTACCAGGTTTTAACAGTACTTCATTTTGATCGTTTTAACACTCAGTTGTGTTTCCAACAATCGCGCTAAATGTGCAGCCCAAGGTTTGCGACAGAAACTCGTAACTGACATTGAGTAGGAGTGATAACAAGTTTAAACTGCTAATAGCCGGACATGATGTACATAACCAGTTCGCTTTAACTGTCAACAATATATGATATGGAGCAAGTTACTAAAAATGACCAATCGGGTAGATGGATTGCTGACGAATTGTTAGATTCCTGATATGATTTTTAAGTTTTTATTATAACTATTTTGTTAGCAATTTACTAGTGTTAAAAGTACGTCAGCTTAGAAATACGGAAACATTACCTCATCCGGAAACATTTCTTCCATTCTGGCAGCCCGGAATTTTGCTAACTGAGCAGATGAGAACGTAGAGGTAGCGCTGGCTGCCATTGTATGAGCGGTATGACTTGCTATCGAAGCACATTCTATATCAGAATTTCCAGATAACTCAGATTCTAAATGATCAGATATCGCTTCCGTTGCATTCCATTGGTTTTCACTTGTTGACTCATGTGAATCATCAACAGACATTTCATCTGACAGAGAGTCCTCCTCACAATCTTCATTCTCTAAGATGAATATCAGCAACGAGAGGATATGGGGATGTGATTAACTTAGGGAACGATGGAACCGTAGTTCAATATTACACAAGTTAACAGAAATTTAAGACGCGGTGTAAAATGGCATACATAATAACCAGCATAACATTGAATCCGAGAAATTAAAGACGTAAAACACAAGTAGCTTGATATAATTTCATCCTAATAATATAAAGTTCAAAAACAAACTAAACATACATGAATAAAAAACTAAGTCTGTAGCTTTTCTAGGGTTACTGTTGGTCACAAATCTTGACAAAGAGCTGTGTATGGGATTGGCAACCCCATACAGTAGAAAACAACTTTGCTAAGAAAGATCACTAGAAGACATCATTTTTACCACTTAAAGTCTGAACTGGCAATTAGAGAACCGACGTTAAAAAGAATTACGAATCCTCATGCTAAAAACCGAGATTCTTCAGAAGTCACGAGGCCGATGCTCCTTTCTAAAAACCAGAACAACAAATAATGTAGGTGAATGGAATGTCCGGACAACGTGAAAGACCGAGAGAACCAATCAAATAGCTACACAAATGAAGAGATACAAAGTGATAGTGTTCGAAATAAGTGAAACCAAGAGGACCCAATATCAACAGAAAAGAGTAGCTTCACAAGAGGTGCAGTCGTACTCTAATAATCAAGAAGAAAATGTTTCGTGCACATAAGGAGATGCACTGACACTGTCCGAAGAAGCACGAAGAGTACGTATAGAATCGGAATCTCATGGATTCAGATCAGTTCTATGAGAGACTGCAATCAATCATAGCGAATTGCCCAAATGAAAACCTCACCATTCTAACGGGAGATCTAAACGATATGAAGATATCATGGGACGACATAGACTGGGAGAGATATAGGAGAATATTGACAGATTTCAAATCTATGTGCATTCAACAAATTGATTATGAGCGGCACAATATTCCCACACATACGCATACACAAAGTTACATGGATCTCACCGGACCACAGCACAGAGAACCAGATAGATCACAGATGTATCAATAAAAAATTCCGAAAGACAATGGAAGATGTGAGAACCAAAATGGAAGCTGAAATACTTTCAGATCACCACGTAGTCGTGGTCAGTATGAAACTGAAGCTAAACAAACACTGGACAACTGGGGAAACAGCATTACAAAGGTTCAATAAAGCCTTCCTTAGGCATACTGACAAACTCAACGAATTCAAGATAACTCTCAACAACAAGTTCAGTCAGTAGGCTACAACGTAGGACCAGGCACATACATGCACCGGTCGAAGTTGCCACGCCTCATTAGCACAGCAAGACGAACACCGGATCCATAGAAGCGGTCGACTCAATGGTGTAATATATAAAAGAAAGATAGCATATAAGGACATAGTACAGGAAGAAAGAATTAGTCCGTAGAAAGAAAGATGCGACATAATTTTAATCTCATAGTTTAAGGGAAGACAAAAAGTGTATACACCTACTCCATTGTGATCGATTCTGAGCCACGTCACCCAGAGCCTCCAACCATTGGTTACGTTAGTCACGCGGACACCAACCAACTAGACTGCATCTACCAACATGACTCAGACCAGAAGTTAGTGACTTCAAGCACTGATGCCACGTTTTGGTTTGGCCGCCCCTAACTTTCTCCCAACCATTCCCAACACCAGTTAGCATTGCGCCTCGTTTCCAGATTTAACTAAGTGACCCCATTTGTTGCTGGAATCTACTTTCCATTTTCTCATCACTCAATTCATTTCTAAATAGGTCTTCTTAATGTGGCTTTCCTGCGTCCAATGAGGCGCAAGCAGATGCGTGCCCGTATTAGGGCGTGGTCGGAGTCCAAGCAGGTACTCCAGAATGAGCGACAATCTTTTACCGAACCTCTCCAACGATGACTGATGGCAATATGGTCTATTTGAGTCCATCGTTGGTTTGGTGTAGGGGGTCGCAATGTTAGACGATGTCTCTCCTTATGCTCAAGATTAGTTTTTGCTAAAAATAAACGATTGTCTGAGCACAGTTGCAGCAGACGATCACCATTATCTGTTTGCTGAGCCAGAATACCAAAACACCCACCTAAATGTCGTTCTGTTTTGTTTAAGCAACCTACCTGGGCACTAAAGTCACCTGCTACGAGTACTACGTCTGAACGTTGAGCTTTCTGGGTGAGGTGAGGTCAAGTGAATGACCACACTAGGATCCTGTATGCGTGTTTCCGCGACACAGCATACATCAATGGTACAAGATTCTAGAGTCTCAGCCAAGGAGGTCTGCTGGTCGATTTGACATAGGGTGCGTACGCTGAAGGCTCTAATGTGCAGTATGAAGTGAGGTTTCAGTAGACCTGGGACAGTGTTTTGCGCACTAGAATTGTTGGCCATGGTGACACTTGAGGAGGAAGCCAAAAGAGAAAGTTTAGTGTTGAAGGTCGCTGTAGGAGGAATAATAGAAATCGAAGAGGGAGTTTGATTATGAATACAGTGGTCTTGAGTGCTGTTAAAGGTATGAGGGTGGCTATCACTTCGCGGTTGCCCATACCGTGAAAGGGTTTTTCTGGAGGTACCTGAAAAGGAAATCGGATTACAGGTGGTCTTAGTGATCTGAGAGCGTGACCTTTGTGCACAAGGGACAATTGCTAGAGGTCGGTCACACACGAACTTTTTGTGGGTAATTTTCGTTCTAGCTCCGTACTTGTTGAGACCTTACCGCCGGAGATGGATATCCGTGGGATAAGGTGAGGTGTGCATTGTTAGAGTCGACCTTTTCTAACCCCACCCCTGCTTGTGGGAAGGCAGCATCAATGTCATGCTGGTGGTCCGAAGGAAACACCTTACTGCCGTCGCACCTATGTACAGTCGGCAGTACGACTTCACCTTCAGACCTTGGGTTTGTTGCTTTTAGTCTTACCGCTCTTCAACCGACCTGTCTGGCACGGTAGGATCTTGAGGAACGATTGTTCCAGCCAGTATAGCTCGGTTGCTTCATCACGATAAGCAAGCCCGACCGCCACGTCAAGGTACCAACAACGGTCGGGAAACTTTTTCCACTGTGATCGCTATGTCTTCCACGTATTTCTGCTTGTCAGCTCTGATGCCCCTCTTGTTTAACTGTTAGTTGCTGTCTTGTTCTTCCTTTCTTTAACCTTGGATACGGTATCAGTAGAGATCTACTCTTTATGCTGGTGCTTCTTACTGCCTAGAATCTCATGATACGTTGAAGTCAATGATTCTTTAATCCCGTTCCAGTTACTCTCCATCGGAGTTTCCTCCTTGTTGAGTAGATCTTGTAACGCTTGGAACCTGAATTTTCGGGCATTGATCTCCAACCAGGAGGTCCACTTATCGACTTAGAATACTCAGATGACATAGTCCTGTTTGGTGAAGACGCTGATTAAATGCAGAGTCTTCTTGTGGCACTAAGCAACAATGCCAGAATGTTTGGAATGAGCTTCTCTCCCTCTAAATGCAAGTTGTTGCTTCAGGACTAGTCTGTATCAGCACCTCAACTAAGGATAGGCAGTGAAATAGTCGAACGCATCGACAACTTCACTTATGTTGGAAGTCTGATCAGCCATAGTATGTTGGTGTCTGACGAAATCTCAGCACGGACTCGAAAAGCTAATTTGGACTTTTGCCAACTTACTTCATCCATGGTGAAGGCGAGATGTCCATCTATCAATTAAGGGACGAGTATGCTGCGCGTAAGTTCGTTCGGTTCTACTTTACGGCTGCGAAACGTGACCGTTAAGAGTTGAAGATATTCGTAAGCTACTAGTATTTAATCATAGATGCCCTAGAAATAATGCTCGCATCTGCTGGGATCATCTGGTAAGTAATACTGAGGTTAGACGTAGGATATTAGGGAATTATCGTAAATCAGTTGATGAGGTTGTGAACTTTCATCGCCTGAGATGGTTGGGCCACGAGTTACGTATGCCTGAACATCAATTACCACGACGCGCAATGTTAACTGGTGTTGGGAATGGTTGGGAGAAAGTTAGGGGCGGCCAAACCAAAACGTGGCATCAGTGCTTGAAGTCACTAACTTCTGGTCTGAGTCATGTTGGTAGATGCAGTCTAGTTGGTTGGTGTCCGCGTGACTAACGTAACCAATGGTTGGAGGCTCTGGGTGACGTGGCTCAGAATCGATCACAATGGAGTAGGTGTATACACTCTTTGTCTTCCCTTAAACTATGAGATTAAAATTATGTCGCATCTTTCTTTCTACGGACTAATTCTTTCTTCCTGTACTATGTCCTTATATGCTATCTTTCTTTTATATATTACACCATTGAGTCGACCGCTTCTATGGATCCGGTGTTCGTCTTGCTGTGCTAATGAGGCGTGGCAACTTCGACCGGTGCATGTATGTGCCTGGTCCTACGTTGTAACTGACTGACTGGAAAAAGCTGCAAGTTAAGGAAGTATGAGACAACTGTATGATACAAAGCATAATTTAAAATATTTTCCTCTCAAGTATACTACGACAATACGTTATACGATAATGAGACCGGTCACATCATATCAGATCAAGAATTCACGACCCAGAACAGAGAACCAGGTTAACACTAGATAATACTCAATTCAACACAGTTACTGAAAATCCCACTCAGTGAGACGAGAGTAGAAATTATTGAGAGGAACGGAAGTCACATATTTAATCGTCAGTAGTCTAAGCGTCTGTTTGTCCACGCTCAGTGACCAATAATATTTTGCTATTACTACCACATATCACTATATGATACAACGAAGGGGACCATTCAAGAAAGAAGGCAAACTATTCATTGGTTCAAGAACAGCGGAACAGGTGGGTGGGTTACTATGATGAACTCTCACATAGGCCAGCCTCACTGAATCCGCCGTATATAAAAGCAGCATCTACAGAGCTTTCTATATATGTCACTACACCAACAGTCGAAGAAATAGACAATGGTTATCAGACAAATCAAGAATGGGAAAGGAGTAGGACTTGGCAAAACTGTTATTGTTATCGGAACAACATTTGAAAGTGGAGATATTGTAGAAGCACATAACTTTAGTACTTTTGCCACTTAGCAAGATTGTATTGTAAAGGATAATATGAAACTCATGTATTTCTGGACGAATTTACTGGTATGGGTTTTATTTGTGCCTATGAAACAAGTAGTTTTATGGTATTTCTTCTGTATGGCTTTAATTGTAAGCTGTTTTTGACCCATTTATTGTTGCTAATTTCTACTGGTCATAAACAAAGGGCAAAATCAACCATGAGTGTAGAAATTCTCTACATATCAAAAATGTTTTAATGATGTTTGTTCACTGTTCCAACACTTGAAATACATAATCACTTTGGTAGTAGATCTAAACTTTACGAAGCAGCGACTTATTTAGTCAGTCAGTCAGTAACAACGTAGAACTTCGTACGTACGTACATCAGTTCGAGTTATTTAACTCTTCTGGTGTTCTGATTGCAAGATTGGTAGAGGGTAAATTTAGCGTGGGTTAACGATCGTCAGCGTATATGGCACTAAAGTTAATTGACTAAATGTTATTGGTGTTGGAAAATTAAAACCAATACTTATATCAAGTATCATTACACTGGATTGAAAAAGAAACGTTTGAATGTTTAAGAAATCGTGGAAAGTTCTTGCGGATGAATTAATCTAACAATATACATATACTAGTTACTTAGTTTAGACAGAAGAGGAACTATTTAAACAAAACTTCTGGCAAACAACATGCTTTTAAACTTACCATTTGTGAGATTGACTGACGTAGATGGAGGTATGTATTTTGTTGATATATTTTCAACGGTGTTAAGATCTGAGATTTGCCACGTCTGTTGTAAGTGATAGTTATCAATCCATTTAGCCTCTATCAAAGGAAAATCACCCCAACCAGTCAAATGCACATGAGGGCCAACAAGTGCAGAACCATTTTGCTCTAACTCCTCGAACAAAATCAATGGTGCTCCATGTAGGTGGCCACGAAGACATACTGATACCTCGGATTTTGTGATATCGTCATGAGCATCTACATTTTGCAAGAGTTTGAATGAAAGTACTGTTTATTCTCTGAACCTTGTGTACAAGTTGAATAATTTATTTGGTTACCCCATAGTTTAATGGAAAATAATAACTATTGAAACAACCATGAGTAATGAATTGTTCATCAAAAAATAATTTGAATAATCCTATTGTTCTGTTTAAAATAGGCAGACAGAATTTACATAAATGATCTAATAACTGAAATCTAATTTAAAAAATGTAGTTGGTTCAGAAAGCGAACAGTAGAAACGATTGAAAGTATGTCACATATCATTAGTAAATCGAAGCGGTTATTTACTTTAATGGTGGATATATGTAACTAATGAAATGCATTGAAAATATTCAAGATGACGGACGCCACTTTAATAAAATTACGTTACAGGTTGTAGCTTTCTGAAAGAACCGTAGTCAAAAATCTCTTTAACAATAAAAGTTAAAATAACTACATGATCAAATAATTTGTACTCCGGGTGGCTTGCGTAAAACACACCTGACGAACTGTGAGTAAAAACTAACGAGTGAAATAAAAACGTACTATTTTCAGAAATTAGTTCAATAGAGTCAACAAGTAAGCGAGTTCGGTAGCGTGCTCCAGTGTGCGCCACTGTAGACTGTCCAGCCACTTTTGCATTCTTTCCTTTAACATGGAAACTTGACGGATTGGTTGAGGCAATATGCCGCAGGAGGTTTAGAGCATTGGCGCTTGAATTTAGTTGGTGAATCGTCGATTCGGGGACTGGAAACCTATACTTTTAGTCAAAATAAAAAACATGCAGTAACATCACAAAATGAAATTAGAATTCATGAAGACTAGGCTGTTACTCAGATTATTAGATGCAGTCAAAAATTGATGTTTAATAATCAAAATTACTGGGGCCACTTTCACGTATAAATTGCTTGAAAACAGGTAAATACAATCTGAATCTACGCAGATAGTTCCCAAAAAGAATACTGTTAGCATATATGATTGCTTTGCCATATAGAAGCGGGTTATGCGTACCTCACCGAAAATAGTTCTACGGACTTTAAAAGAATGTTTGATGACCTACATCGTTATCAGACAAATCAGTCGAAAATAATTCAGTCAAAAGTCTGGTCGTAGGTCCAGTTTGTGTAACCTTCTTGTGTGAACACGCACATAACTATAGCAATGCAATTAATGTATATAATAATGAAGACTCCCTATTTTTATTAATCGACAAAGTTTGATGTTTAACAAAAATTAACTCAGAATTCATTTAAGACTTTAAGACAAATGTATGGCATGTAAAGTTTTAATAAAAAAAATTAGGCAATCAAATTACCTCTAGAATCTGTTTTAACTCTTTAAGATTTGAATTGGAAGAAAGAACCGCATAGGAAGCATTTGTAAAACCTTGAGCATATATGGCAGTGAGTAACTCATGAACAGAATCAGGAATCTCTGAGGGATTACTTGGAACTAAAAGAACAAGCCAGTCTGCGAAATTTGCGAGGTCGAGACAACCGAAAAGATCATCACTGTAAGCACAAATGAGATTAAAGTATTTATTGAGGATTTGAGAGCGAATAGTGACTACATTTTGCAAACAATCCGGCTTTTTTATAACCTCAGTATTTGGTTCACATGTTTGAAATAAAAGTTGGGCTAAGTGTGTAGGTACTGAGGACGATAAAGGAATCAAAACACAAGCTATAGGATTTCCCTTAGTCCCACGAGATGCTTCAAGATTTTTTACCTATGACAATAGGAAGTAAAGCTTTTTAACAAACCTCTAATCTCTTTTGTATGCGGAGTTGCTTGGAGAGTAAGCGCCGTTGGTCCTTATTCAGTATCTATAATGGTAAACAAAAATATTAATGAATTTAAACGAACCACATGAAGCTGGTGCTTCAACGTTGTGGATCTATTAAACAATGTAATTCTGGACTTCAGCATCGTTTACATAAACTTACATTTATCAGGGCTGATTTCCATTGTTGATTGTTTTGATCTATTTGAGAGAGTGGTTCTTTTATGATGACAGTAGAAGAATTAGATTTACTAAGTTTGGGAATAACATCCGTTCCTAAAGTCTACGCACTAGTAATAAATACGCTGAAAATTCCCCTATAGTGTTAAATTCTTGAACACAGATTCGAGCGCTCTTCTAAAGACATTAAATTTTGTCAAAAGAAGTCATAAACTTCTTGCTGAGAGGAATGTCCAGTAAGTATATACCACTACTCAAATTGCATATAATTAGTTGATATTCATGAACATTTTAAACACAATCATATGAAAAAAGCAACGAGAATTATAAGTTAGGGGAAAATACCAAACAATATCTACTGTCTAGTTTTCTTTATTTTTGTGATATGTGCTTAAGAAAGCAATAATTTTGTTTCCAAAACCTTTAGGGATCGATCTCGTACTTACAGATTTTATGATATATGTATGAACCGTTCTTTAGCATTGTGCGATAGTATATGAAAATAATCTCTAAGTGAGAAAATGGACGGATTAATTTGGCAGTGGACTAGAAAACAAAATTTGATGGAAAAATGGTGAAGTTAGAAAAAAGGCCTTAAAAAGTACTCTCGAAACCATATAAACGAACACATATTTTGGAAATTTGAAGAACCTAATAACAGACAACCGGCCAAATTAATGACTAAATTTACGGCCGGATTTTTGACCTGATTACTACAACGTCTTTAAGTAGACAGAAAAAACATGCTAGTTCCAATTGTCTGTCATGATACAGTATTGACTTCCAGATCTCTATCTGTAAAACATCAGTAACACATAAAGATAAAAAACCTGGCTCGGTAAAAACTGAGTACGATAGAATTAGTTAGCGGTTGTTATTTGTTGCCAATCATTCGTTTTGTATTTATATGTAAACCACTTCTATCATCAAGAGCACTATATGGATTTTTTATCTTATTGTAGAAGGTTTTACAATACCTGTAGATCAAATTATATTCATGTTGACGTACAGTCTTCAGAATGAGAAACCAGCTAAGGGTAGTAATATTTACATTGTGAATACATGCACTAACGCGTTTACTACGTGGCAGTCACTAACTCCAAGAAAACTGCTTACGTGATCAATTTACAATATAGTCTCAAGTATCAAAATACGTAGCATAACGTAGGGGGTCTTTTGGATCATCAATTATTTAGAAACGACAACAATTTTGTGACATTACCACTGAGTCGAGTACTAATTAGTACAAAAATAAATTTCTATTTGTGACAAAATAATTATTACTCTGATCCAATAACACTGGCATAATACCTTGTTTTTTGTTACGCCATGTGGCTTTGGGTTTTTATCTGAAGATTTCCTAGCTCCTTTATGCTTTTTATTCTGCTGTTTCAGAGGCCCACTACGATGCGGTGCACGAGCCATCGATTCGTTAGAAATCAAAAGAATGACCAGAGTTTACAACGTTCAATAAAATGTGAACTTACGTAAATGAAATAATAATTGAAAAGCTATACAGACTACTTTTCGAATAATTGATCAGATGCTTTCCGTTTTCTACCACTTAGAAATATAACAGTAACTAAAACTGTCTTAGCATAAGATACTAATGGGTGCTTCAATTCCCCAATTTGTAAGCATAGTTGCTTTTGCGATATGTCCCTTAATTGTGGATAATGCTTTTCTCGCAGTATCGTCCAATGGATGAATTTCGCATTTCCATGGCGTTGGTCGGTTAGCGGTTTCATAAGTGACACGCACTTAGGTATCGTAGCGGTAAATAAATCCCCAAAATAAATAGCTCTGTAAGTTTTCGACATTGGATGCTGACCATATGTTTTAGTGGACTCATCTAGCTGAAGGCGCTCGGTCAGGCATCCGCACCAGATCACGTGTGGTAACGCCGTGCTCAACATCAACCGCAATCGCTAGCCAGATTAGATCAGAGAATTCCGGTATATTGGTCATCGCCAAATATACTCTTCCGATCTCCTCGACTCTGTCTTTTGATTTCTCTGGGTGGGAACGAAATACATTAGAAGGTGTTACTGGTAGAAGCGTTGTCAAACACTGAATACTTGTGACATCTTTGGTATGAACCGTCTGTAGAAACGTACAAGGCCGTTAAACGTGCGTTATTGCTTGATGGCGGTCGGTTCTGCGTAATCAAGACTGGCCGCCGGTTTGGTTTTAAGGGGCCGGATGCCTTGCGCATCTATAGCGTGTCCAAGGAAATCTATGGAGTCAGTCCCGATTTGGCATTTCTGAATGTTTACAGTAATGCCATGTTTTAGTAGTCGTTCGGAAACAGGTTCTGGATGCTGGAGATGAGATTCTCTGTCCGGACGTGCTATTAATCGGTTATCAACATACGCATGTACGAAGTTGAAATCTCGAAGAACGTCATCTATGAACCTTTGTAAGTGCAGCGTATCTTAAGCCGAAGGGCATGCGCAAAAATTGGTAGAGACCGAAAGGAGTTATGATAGCTCTTCGAAGAATGTTGTCCGCAGCCATAGGAATTTGGTCATAGGCTTTAACCGAGTAGATTTTCGTGAATGTGAGGCAACGGATAACAATCGAGAATGGTTTTTGCATTCAATCGACGATAGTCACCAGTTGGACGCCATTCGTTGCTGTCCTTTTTAGGGGCCATGTGCAACGGAGATGCCCAAGTGCTGTTTGACGGTCTTATGATGCCTAAGTCTACCATGTGGTCGAATTCGTTTTTCACCGACCTTAGCTTTTCGGAGGCCAGTCGGTGTGTTTTCGAGAATACAGGTGTTCCTGTAGTCGTGAGATCATGTGTAACATTGCTGGTTGCACACGGCAATTTCGGATGCGGTTGGCACATCCCAGAATACTTATCGAGTAGTGGTTGACAGAATGGGTCTATCATGAGCTTTATTGTGATCGGAGATAATCTGCAACCAGAAAAAGAAGTTATGCAAACAGATAAATTAGAATTTCCGTTTACTAGCCTCCGTGTGCGCGTATCGATGAGTAGATTATGGTGTTGTAGGAAGTCTATATCAATGATTGGCATAGAAACGTCTGCAACAACGAAGATCCACTGTATGGGTTTGCGTAAACCCACATTAAGTCTAAAACCGGCTCGTGAAGCCAGTCGTTAGAATTTTCTGGAGGAAATCTAGCTTCTACTCCAGTATCGACGAGGTAGCGAACTTTCGTTATCGCATCTGTGGCGTATAACAGACAGCTATGTTCTCCGGCCACGGTCGCAGCTAACGCGTGCCGGCTTGGAAGTTTTCCGAGATGTTCTTCTTGTCGGTCGATTTGGAGTTGTGAAAACTGGAGGATTTCCTACAATTTCTAGAAGATTTTCCGTAGTGTTTACGATACCAGTAACACACAGGGTTATCCGTCTCTCGTGGTCTGGCGACAGATCGCTTACGTGAAGCACTTCTTCGAGGGGCGTGTTACCGTTTACGTTCATCACTAAATCGAAGGTAACGGGTCAGCGTATGACATAGTTCCTTGATGTCATTCTCTGTCGCTTGAAATTTTTATGCGACTTACAAAAATTTCGACATTAGATTTCGTGATTTCTAAGATGCGGTCGGCAGATGCAGCCAGCTCGTCTACGGAGTTGTTTTGAAGCGAGACAACCACAGCTTCACACATTGAGGTAGTTTGGATAAGAAAAGTTGTTTGAATAAGCCATCAGCGAATGTTCTTTGGCCCATAACCACTCTAATTTCTTACAACATGTCTGTCGCTGAACCGTGTTGCACATCGATATTATTAAGGAGTTGATCTAACATTTGTCGATCGGTTAGGTCTCCGCGTTCAAGAATAGATCGTTTAAGAGTTTCGTAGGATTCGGAAACATCACTAGTAAACATACTAGGTATGACATACCTGTTGAGTTCGCGTGGTAGTGCTTTTACTACTGCGCGGAATTGTGCACGTGTGTTGATTACGCCATGCTCGGTGAAGTCAGCTTCTGCGTATCAGAACCAGGCTTCGATGTTGTCTGGCCAGAATGGCATCAGTTGGAACGAAGGTGGGGACATAGTCTTTAACTTAAGTACCTTGGGTGTCTGTTCCGTCATGGCGCAATATCAAGTACGAGAATGAACGGGTGAGAAAAAATATATCAAAAACACGGGAAAAATTATCACAATATATAAAAAATTAATACAAGGTAATATTATACAAAATTCCAAAAAGGAAAGATTCACAGTTTACAATTTGGTGTACCATATCACGTTAGACTCACCGGTGAAGATGCCACAGATATTTGGAGTTTGACAACGCTTTAACCAGTAACATCTAATATGAAGCGTACCCATCGAGTGAAATCAAAAGACAGAAGCGAGGAGATTCGAAGATATATTTGATAGGCTACCAATATATCGTGGATGGACTAATCTAGACTCGTTAGCGATTGCAGAGGATGTTGAGCACGGCGTTCCCACTCGTGACCTGGTGCGGGTGCATGACCGAGCGCCTTCGGCTAGGTGAGTCCATTAAAACTAATGTGGTCAGCATCTAATGTCGAAAACTTATCGAGCTATTTATCTCGGGGATTTCTTTTCCGCTACAGTAACTAAACCATGTCGTAGTTAATACTACTTTATGATGTGTCTCTTATAGGGTTTACGAATGAACTATTGTAAACAGAATCCGCAATTACTGACCAAATTATAAACAAAGTTCTAATGCATGTTGACGAGTAGTATCTAAGTGGTACTTGTCAGTTTCTTGGTTGATGCCAAATGACTAAGTGAAATTCTGGAAGGGTTAGTACATGAAGAGTACTGTTTATAACAAGTAAGACATTTATAGGTACATTCTTTTGGCTGCTATTTCATTTACCTATTGAATTTGATGCTGACAACGAAGTTTAATCGTTTGTTTCACGAATGATTTGCTGTTTTTCAGGATTTCATTATGCTGAGAAAGTCCTCACACGTTTTCTGATATGCAACTTATGTCTTCTGTCAACTAACTGAAAGGCTCAAACCTTTCTAATAATCATGTCTATGCTGGTGAACACCTCAGCTAATATCTGAATATGGGAGATTACGTGGAGAAACAATTTACAAGTTGACGATAACTGTTTTTTATATTGACCACTGCCACGTTCATTCATCTAATGAATTATTTAAATATAAAGATAACAACTACACAGTCGTTTGCATTATAAATCTTGTTAGTATGTATAACTATAGTCTAGTTTGATACTAATACCACTTTGATAATAGACCTAATCGAAAAACGGTATATTTGTCACATGATAGTCTGATCTGTAAGATCTTACGTGGAAGTCGCATCACTGTCTACACTGACTCATCATATCGTAACAATTGACAATGATACTTTTCACTTCTGAAGGACATATTTGTGCTGGGGATAGAATAATACACTTTATATGAATAGTAACAACTAACACCTAAAGAATACGTCTGCAAGGCTGAGCCATGACATCCGATTGAATCAATGTTTCCACATCCATCACTGCCGACCTTCTCCAAGTCTTACATGTCGAATATTGGTCTTTTCAGTCATTATATGCATGGATTCGAAGATCGTGTGGTTAGGAAATAATGCCACTACAAGTATCCATCCGAATACACTGTCACAGGGAAGAAACTTATATATACAACGCAACAGTATAGTGAAACTTCTAAACTGACGCAGTACTACAAGTTTTCCTAACGAAATGGGTACTTATAAAGCAAACACGTAGTTGTTTCTAGTTTTTACAGACAGATATCCACTGAGATTATTGGTGTATCTTCCCATGAAACTACGAAGAAAACGAAAATGAATCTTGGGCAAAAGTTTATCGATGCACCACAGGAAGAGCAACACTTGATGCCGACAAATCAGTTTACAAGTTGGATATATAGTTAAGTTAAAATACTACTACAAATAACTTGTTATAGCAAACAGTTCCTGTCACTTCTCCACACTATGTTGTATCCCGACCCATATTTTTCATCGTAGAGAATACCACACAAAGACAAACCCTAGAGAAAATACAGTCTTATCTATTTATTGATGATTCCCAAGCAAAGATTGGCTTTGTTGAATTTGTACATGCTGTCTGCTTCGTCCGGGTAGTGAGATTGTTGTCATTCTGGAAGGTGTGAGTGTTATCTATCTTCTATCGACTGCAGTGTCTGAGAATATGATGAACTACACAGTTTATATTTGGCAATTGATCGAGCTTGCCTGTGAAAGTCCGTCCTTTTATGTGTGCCAGTAGCATGACGACAATGACACTGGCATATCATAATTTACTCACACTCTAGGTTATATATGCTCTCAATTCGTTTTGCTTCCTGGCATATAGAATAGGACGCCCTCGACCAAGATCACCCCTAAAATTTACCCATACCGGACAAAGGTTTTCCCAAGATAGGGAGATAAGAAAGTTATGAAGCAACATTCGATCCAACGTGTGCACTACAAGACGGAGAGAGCTAAATGAATGTTCTCCGCAATGATTTTGTGGTTTTGCTGCAGCACACGACTACTTAAATATGAGAACACCTGATATCCGTGCAACCCAACGGGCATTCGAG